TATATATATATATATATATATATATATATATATATATATATATATATATGTTGAGATTTTAATCGTACAAAGAGATCACGATGATGTTTTTAAACTTTTTCGTGCTTCTAGGAAATTAATTTATCGGGAAACATTTTTCTATCATATCAATTTCAATGAAGAACTCTACTGCTGTACGGTTACTGAATATCAGACGTATTATAGCTTTTTTTATATATATAATACACACAGACACGGCAAGTAGTGGTGTACGATCAGGCGTCGATGAAAATGGACTCTCACCAACGTACACCCAGGAATATTGCTTTTTTCCTGATTTTCATTATAACCACCAATCGCATTGATTCTTTTTTAATTGCAATCAATTCTCACTCATCGCTCTCCTTTTTTTTATTCACCGCTGACGTTATTTTCTTGTCCCTCATATATATTATTGGATTCATTCCTGATTAATTCAATTGTTGCATTACTATTTCATCGAAACAAACCGACCAGCTGAATTATTATTTTAATTATTGGATCGAATCTACGAAAAAATTTTTAAAATTTCAGGCTCTTATTTATACTTTGGTTAGATTTTTCTACTAGCGAGAGAGCGTAGCCACCTAGAGGTGAAACCAAGAACTAATTTTTTACAAATTTTAACTATATTACTAGAATACATTGATATTACTTATAAATTCTTACATTAAGCTCAAAAGTAAATTTTTAATCTAGAATTTTTTTTTTTTTAACCAATTTCTCTTTTAAGAAATTTCAAATTTAATTTTTTTAAACATACCTTAATAATAATAATATAATACTGCTTAGTTTACGAATTTTTTAGCAAAAATTTGGATCTTTATATATACTCCGGTAAGATTTTTCTACTAGCGAGAGAGCGTAGCCACCTAGCGGTGAAACTAAGAACTAATTTTTATCAATTTCACGTTATTTAACCTACATTATAGTAAAATACATTGATTTCATGTTAAAATTCTTCAATTGATACTAACAAATTCTCTAAAAAATTATTTTGGACCGATAATTTTATTTTAAATCAATTAAATTTTATATTTTATGAAAAATTTAGAATTTTCTTTTTTTTTTAACATATAAAACATCAATTATAATAAAGTATACTGTCCAATTAAAAATAAAATTATTTTTAGCAAAAAATTGGTTCCTTATATATACTTTGATAAGATTTTTCTACTAGCGAGAGAGCGTAGCCACCTAGCGGCAAAACCAAGAACTAATTTTTCCCAATTCCAATCTATTCAAACTATATTACTAGAATCCATTAATTTAACATAAAAATTCTTGAATTAAGCTTGAAAATTCTCTAAAAAATTATTTTTTACCAAAAATATTTTCATTTTAAATTAATTAAAATTGTTTTTTTTTTTTTAATTACAAATTTCTTCATTATTAAAATATAACCAACTAAAATTTGGTTCTTTATATATACTCTGGTAAAATAATTCTACTAGCGAGAAACCGTAGCCACCTAGCGGCAAAACCAAGAACTAAATTCTAAAAAATCTCCGATTTTTCATTATTGAAGATATATTACACTAAAATACATTAATTTAACTTAAAAATTCATGAATTAACTTGTATTACACTAAAATACACTAAGTCAACTTAAAAATTAACTTTTTTAACAAGAATATATTTTTTTAATTCAATAAAATCTTTTTTGAAGAAACTTAGAATTTTCTTTTTTCTTAAACCCAATCTCCAATCATCATAAAACATTAGTCCCGAGTCAATCCAGTAATTCGATATCGCCCTTCGCCAATAATAACAACAACAACACTAACAAAACAAACATAATTATTATGCACGATAAAGTAACCGGATTCCAATGGCCGAATGTGCTCAACCCGCCTTTTATTTCCTAACTTATTTACTGCATCCCACTAACAAGGCGACGAATAATAATAAAAATGATATAATTGTGAAATACGAGCTTGGTGTAATTGTAACCGAGAAAATAATTCTTCCGAGTGGTATAATGAGATCGCGCATAAGGTATTTTCGTCCTCGAAACCTTCAATCACATCTCAGTTGCATTAACAATTACTTAGGAGCCTTAGCGGCCTTACAACAGCTCAACGTCGTCCTCACCCCACAAAACAGGAATTTACCTCCAGGCTAAGCTACACGCAGGCGATTAGTCAGACTCGTTACACACCGGGCGATCTTCAGGATGAATGACAGCCCCTTCAGGTGATTACCACTCAAACATTTACTTTTTTTTATCAACCCAGGTGATAAATTTTGCAAAAAATTGGAAAAATTGGATCACTTATTAACATATTGAGCGATTGATGGATGATTGCTCACCAACAAGCACAGAAGCTGATGTTTAACCTCTCTGCTCCGTGTTGTGTTCGGTTGCCCGTCCCAAAGGTGGGCGTTTAAGCTGAGTGCAAACAACTACTATTCACTCGTCTTATCGTCGCATCTGTGCTGCATACTACACATCCCGTTACGAGATTCACGGAGCTTAATCTATCTGTTTACACAAACTGTTTGATTCATTGATGTTATCTTGGTTTTAAAATATTTATTCCAAAAATTTATAATCATAATACTTTATTAATAATAATTATACTTCATGTGTGCGGCAAGCTGCATTGAAAATTAAAAAAATTTTTAGCCCATAAATAAATTTTTATAAAAATTAGTTCCAAAAATTTCCGACAGGTGGCGCATGGTCGTTAAATTTTCTCGCTACTAGAGAGTTAATTTTGAGAATATAAGTAAAGAACTAAAAAATTGTTTTTTACTATTTTAAAGAGCCTGTTCATTCTAATTTAGTTCTAATGTATTATTCAAAGTCTACATTTTACTAATTTGTAAAGAAAATTTTTTTTAATTAATTTTTTTCATTCATTTATTCACTTCCGGTGAATAAATTTCATTAAATAGCTCGATAAGCCCATAAATGAATTTTGATAAAAATTAGTTCCAAAAATTTCCGACAGGTGGCGCATGGTCGTTAAATTTTCTCGTTATTAGAGAGTTAATTTTTTGAATATAAGTAAAGAACTAAAATTTTTTTTTTTACTATTTTAAAGAGCCTGTTCATTCTAATTTAATCCTAATTTATTATTAAGAGTCTACATTTTACTAATTTGTAAAGAAAATTTTTTTTAATTAATTTTTTTCATTCATTTATTCACTTCCGGTGAATAAATTTCATTAAATAGCTCGATAAGCCCATAAATGAATTTTGATAAAAATTAGTTCCAAAAATTTCCGACAGGTGGCGCATGGTCGTTAAATTTTCTCGTTATTAGAGAGTTAATTTTTTGAATATAAGTAAAGAACTAAAATTTTTTTTTTTACTATTTTAAAGAGCCTGTTCATTCTAATTTAATCCTAATTTATTATTAAGTATATTTTACTAATTTGTAAAAAAAATTTTTAATCATTAAGAAAATCGATTATATTCCATGTCTGCGGCAAGCTGCATTGAAAATTGATAATATTTTTAGCTTGATAAGCCCATAAATGAATTTTTATAAAAATTAGTTCCAAAAAATTCCAACAGGTGGCGCATGGTCGTTAAATTTTCTCGCTATTAGAGAGTTAATTTTAAAAATATAAGTAAGGAACTAATAATTTTTTTTTTTTTTAATAAATTTTAACTAATAATTTTTTTTCAATTTTGAATTAATAAAAAATTATTTTTAATTAAAAAAAATTACATTTTTGGTTAAATATTAGGCTCAAAATTTATAAAAAAATTTTTTTTATCTTTTTGGAATAATTTTAAATAAGAAAAAAATTTTTTAAGATACCAAGTTAAGAGTAAGGTAATCAAACTGTCGACAAGAAATCAGTGTCAATCCTTAGAACGGTTTTCCAGTGACAAGCGTCAAACCAATGGACTGCGGAAATGATTATCATTTAATAATGTTTATAAAAAGTAAAAAAATCAAGACTAACTTATAGGATAAAGTTAAAAATTATCGAAGTCATTGACCCGAGTCTTGACACGCTCCAATTGATTAGACAGAGTAATTCGGATTGAGCTACTTCAGAGAGAGTATGTATTCTAATTGATTGTCATTGACATACAAAGCCCTTATTAATGAATGACACATTAACCAGGTCAACGTACTTAGAGTCAACTATTGACAGTGTTATTGGTGTAATTGTGAGTTAAAAAAATAAAAAAGACTTACCTCGCTCTTGAGATTCAGCGGAACGTCGCAGGGTGGCTCGATGTCAGCGGCTTCGGTCTTCACGTGGGACAGCATGTTGTAGTTATGTCTCATGGGGGCTGCAGTCGCCAACATGTTGGAGTAAGGGCGGTGGTGAGTCTGCTGGGGTTGGGGCGGCTGCAATCTGCGGTACGGCGAGGGCGACAAGTGGGTGGTTATCGTACGCAAATCCGCGGGAGGCGAAGCCGGAGCAGCGGTACTGCTTTGTTCTTCTTCAGCAGAGCCCTCTGCCATGTCAGCCGAGCATCCCGATGACTCGTGGTCTGTAAAAATAAGAAAAAAAATTTTTTTTTAATATAAAAATAATTACCTCGATAATGATAATAATTAACCGAATGCTTGGGCGTCTATTTAATGACCCTACCGGGCTCTTAATGTCCCGGAGGGTCTTATTTAGACAGACAAAACAATCGTAATAGCCGGGGACTAAATAAAACTCGAAGAGATACTTTTTTTAAGTCATAAAACGATTGTAATTAAATCGCTAATGTCTTCAGGGTGGCTATAAAAATCCGCGAGCAGCTGTTTAAGGACCAGAAGCACCCTCTTAATCTTATTTTGTCAACTTCAAAGCTAAAACAAGTTCTGTCTAAAACTTTATTGGAATTTTATGTCACTTGAGATTCAACATTTTTTGCACTGGCACGTGTTTTTTTACGATTTAACTTTGATGGTGAAGAAAAATTAAGAAAAAAAAAATTTTGTAAAAAAAATCATTTATTTGACCATATTTGAGAAAATTTTTTAATTTTAGGTCATATGTTACCTAATATAGCCATATATGGCATATATATGCCATATATACCATAATGGTCATATTAAATCAACATGGCCATATTGGGTACATATGACCATATGGCCAAATATGGATACATTTAGTCTATATGACCAAACTTGGTCATATTTAATGTATATAACAAAATATGGCCATATTTACTGTATATGGCCAAGCATGGCCTTATTAAATCTATATGGCCATAGTGGCAATGTCGAGAATATATGGCTATATGGCCAAATGTGGATACATTTAATCTATATGGCCAAGATGGCCATATTCAATGTATATGGCCAAATATAGCCACAGTTTTTATGTGGCCAAATTCGCCATATTTACTTCATATGGCCACCTGTGGCCATATTTACTCCATATGACCAAATATGGCCATATTTTTTATATCCCCAATATTGTCATATTTACTTTATATGGCCATATTTTTATATGGCCAAAATTCCCATATTCACTTGATATGGCCAACTGTCGCCGCAGTTATTATATATGGCCATATTCAATGTATGGCCATATTTAATATAGGGCCATATTTACTTTATATGGCCAACTGTGGCCATATTTGCTCTATATAGCTAAATATGGTCATATTTGATATATATCCATATATACTTTGTATGGCCATCTGTTGCCATATGGTCATATTTTTTATATGGCCAACTGTGGCCATATTTATTCTATATCGTCAAATAAGGCTATAGTTGGTCTATATGGCCAATTATGGCCACATTTCCTTTATATGGCTTAATATGGCGATATTTTTCATATGGCCAAAATTGCCATATTCACTTGATATGGCCAATTGTGGCCATATTTACTATGTATGGCCAAATATGGCCATATTTACTTTATATGGTCAATTGTGGCCACATTTACTATATATGGCCATATTTATTCTATATGGCCAATTTTCACATAAAGTCATGTCAAAAAAATTTTTTTAAGGTCCAAAAAATTTTTCTATGGATAAAACTAACAATTTCTCTAAATTTCGCGATCCGTTGGTATGTCTAAATCTCAGTAGTACAACTGCGAGGGTAAATTTAGCTTCTCAGCAAGAGCTCGGTAGTATTCAAGGGCAAGTAGTAATTCATTGGCGTTAAATGATGTTTATTTGGGTTTTTACGAGTCCTCAACCGGGACTGGGAAGATGTTGAGACGGAAAACGGTCGTATGGACACCGGGGAAGAGCATCTGGAGCTATTTTGGAGTTTTAAAGCCTCCGGTATAAAATTCTGGCGGTTGGCCAGAATTTTAGCAACTTTTTTAAATGAAATAAAAAAAATAATGATAATGCAAGCGTAAATTTATTAATAATGCTCGCACATGGAATCTAGAGCCAGAGCACACCATCAGGCAGATGGATGATTGCACGTGTGTTGGGAATTAAAGGTCACGAGTGCAACTGGTCGAGCCGAGTAGTGTTTGGCCTGTTGTTGCTCGTGCCGGCTTACTGTGTATATATATAGTTACACACCCAGACATTTAAATAGTACTAATACTTAACTATAACTATAGTGCGGGATACCCTCGATGAAACACACACGAGGCAGGAAATCTTCCGCGTCATTGACCGCTCCGAGGTAAACGAATTGCGGTGACTGTGTTTGAGAACGTAAATGAATGGCTCATCGACTCGATAATCGAATCTTTTTTAATTTTTTATATTTTTTTACTCCGTGTATTATTTTTTAAATAAATTTCGTTATTCTTTTGATAATGCTGTCTATTGATAATGCTGTCAATTAATCGCTTCATCAAGTAGAAACACAACGTCATTTTTTGGTTATAAAAATTTTACTCGCTTTGATTCTCCCTTGTTTAGTACAGGCACAAAGAGTCTGGCTCAGATGCTAAACGGCCCTCTTTATTATTTATTTAAAAACTCGTTTAGTTGATTCAACGAGAATTAGATACTTTTTATCGGGTAATTTTTGTAGGAGATTTTTTTTAGTTGGTCATTATTTCGATCACCCCTACGGACAAATATAGAATTTTAAAAAAAAATTGTATTTATTTCCAATTGTTATTTTTAAATAATTTTAGACTTATTTTAAAAAAAAAAATTTAATTTTTTTTAATATAAATTAAATAAATAAAGGATTAAAATTGGACCAAATTTAAATAATATTGTCAAACAAATTTTTTTGACACTATTAAGGGTATTTATTTTAAGAAAAAATTTGTTTTTTAATTTTGATAAAATTTTGAATAATAAATTATATTTTTTTATAGATGATAAAATTCCCTTTAAAATAAGTACTCACAAGTCTAGTTTTATTGAAAAATATCAATTCGCGGTAAACCGCGAATTAGAAGACAATAATTGACATTAATGATTTTTTTATTAATTTTCATACTAATCAAGTGTAATATAATAGAATTATTTAGGAGTGATCTCACAAATTTGTATCGAAAAAATAGTAACAAGCAACTTTGCAGTCACTACGTGACTGCCGTGACTTATAACATATAAATAAATAAAATTTTGCGTTATTAAACAGTGATTTGTGTTAAATTGCACTGTACTTTCTTAAATACTGACTTTTTCAAGATATAAGCTCATCCTGATGTTATACTCATCAAGAGCTTTCATTTGAATACCCACATGCATTTTTGATATGTTTTTCATATATACATATATATAATATATATAAATATATAAAATATATAAAAAATTGATGTGGGTAATCAAATGAAAGGTCTCGATGAGTATAACATCAGGATGAGCTTATATCTTTAAAAATGTCAATAGTTCACAAGATACAAGGTAATTTTTATATAAAAATTTTTTTAAAAAACCAAACTTTTTTTCCAGGTGACTCCTTCCATCTGTTAATGATTTATTTGTCTCAAAACCCTGAAAATAATATTAAAAACTCTCATCAGTGATTACCGGTGAGCGTATTTATTATACGTTATAATAAAAGTACTTGAATAATACCAGGAGTGGACAAAGTCGCAATGGGCGGTTGCCAACTGCTCCTGCTGAGTGACTTTCATTGGTTGTCTTAACCTCGCTATTGGTAGGGATAAAACTTTACAATATATATAACCTGAGAACATATTTATATTTAAATAGCTTCCCAATAATCGGAATTAATATCATTGAAGTAAATAATAAGGACCTTGAAGCAGCTCGAGTGTAAAAAATAATTCAGTGCTCTCATAAATAACGATAGAGCTAGTAAGCGCCTAGAGCCAGATCCAAGGGCTGGATTAAAAAGATGCCTTCTATGACTTAGTATCTACTATGTATTTATTAACTCACTATATAATATAACCCACGAGACGTATCCTCGAAAGAGGAGCAGAGAATTCGCTATTCTGTCGGAGCCATATCGAGTGCTTGCAATTACAAGCTGGTCAACATATAATTATCCCCAATGACCATAAATTACTGGATTTTTATGCGCAACATTCTTAATTACCCTTTGAATTAACATCAATCAAGCCCCTTAATTATATAGTACTGCAGACGACTCCGGCTATTGCTGACGATGATGCGGTCGATGTTGCTCTACACGAGATTAAATTTTATATATTTTACTAGGAGTACCCTTGTTAATTTTTTTTTTTTTTATTCAAAAGAATTATTGGAAAAAAATTTAAATTGTAACAAAAATTTTTTTGATTTAAAAATAAAATTTAATTAGCTTTCTAAAAAAAAGTGAAATTAAATTTTTTTTTTAGAGTATTATCTTTCTCCCACATAAATAATTAGATTCCGTAGAACAAAAGTATCATGACCTTTGAACGTACTAATTATCTTGTAATTGCAGCTTGAAGCTTGAAGTATAAAAATAAACTCTAGAAAAAATTTTAATCAATTGATTTTTTCTGGTGTGATCTGATCTGGTTATATATGCCAAAATCTGGCCATATACACGGAAAAAAATAAATAGTAAATGCAACATGATGCAATCTTGGTAAATAAACATGATGAAATCATGTTGGATCCACATGATTTGTCATGTTTCGGCTACATGGCAATCGTGTTGCGGTAACATGAGAAAATCATGTGGCAGCAACATGATTTTCATGTCACCTAAATAGCATAATATTAAGCTGCAACAATTATATATTTATGGTTCAGAAAAATTATTTATTATGAAGCAACTAGATTTTTTCGGATTTATAATGATGTGGATGCCACATGACAATCATGTTGCGGTAGAATGAGAAAATCATGTGGATGCTACATGACAATCATGTTGCGGTAGCATAAGAAAAATCATGTTGCTGCCACATGATTTTATGTCACCTAAATAGCATAATATTAAGCTGCAACAATTATATATTTATGGTTCAGAAAAATTATTTATTATGAAGCAACTAGATTTTTTCGGATTTATAATGATGTGGATGCCACATGACAATCATGTTGCGGTAGAATGAGAAAATCATGTGGATGCTACATGACAATCATGTTGCGGTAGCATGAGAAAA